TTGAGAGAAATAATTCAAATATCTCTCCAAAAATAACGAATTTTTTTGGACGGTTTAAAGAAAACGGATTAGACGCTACAAAACAGAAAAAATAAAAATTCAGCAATTTTTATGCAGTGTATCTTGGGTAAAACTAATGCTGATAATAGTGATAACAGAAATGTACATATCTGTATCCACGCATACACTTAAGCACTCATGCACGCATGCATTGTTCATATTATTATGCATTGTGCAAAAATATTAATAACAAAATTTCTTTTTTGTTCGTAGTTATATTTATTTATTAGAAAAAATTGGCTGCAAGATAAGGCTTTCGTGTAGAAAAACTGCATTTTTACAAAGTTCCCCTGCGTTCTTGTAGACAATTTTAAGCTTCATATATTCGAGTTTTTTCAATAATATAAAAATAAACCGATTTTAAACGTTTCCCTCACTGGGCAAATCTTGGCACTAAAGTGTTACCCTTCTTTATCATATTAATAATAATATTATTTAAAATATATAGAGAAACATTTTTGTTAATAATTTTTTAACAATGAGCGATGGTTGAAACCTTCTAAAGGTCACTCAAAGTCATGATCGATCTTAATGACAAATGTCAAGGTAATTGAAATGCGGTCTCTTATTCGGTACATTTACTCAAATTTTATTCACAAAGATAACGATACTTAATTAAATTGAAGAAAATTAACGCCATCTGTTGAATTAATTTTTGTTTAAAAGTTATAATATATGCAAGTTACATATGCTATCAACATTTCATAACATTTGGATCATTATGAGTCGAAGTATTGTGAATCTGGCAGTTAAGCATTTTTGTACGACAATGCATCATCTCACGGTTGGACTGTTACAACTACCCTCTATAGTTCATGTAAAATTTATTTAATTTATTAGGCACCAAGATCCAACGGACCAACCGTGACCGTAGAAGGTGCTGTCAAACTTATTTGTGTTATTCATATGCGGTTTTAGTTCAAATTATTATTGTTTAATATATATACGTGCCTCTAGCAAATGTTCCCACTTAATAATCAGTTATTGCGATAAATATAATCATGCCTCGGTGGTCAAATTGGTTAAGACGCCCGTCCCGGAAAGTCGAGAAATTCCAGGTTCAAACCCTGGCAAAGATAATATTTTTTGTAATGAGTTCTTCGCAGAATTTTAAGATGCTTATAAGCATCAAATTATTAAGAATTAAAAATTAAGTGAGAGGTCATTCCAGTTTCAGCTAATGATTGTATTGTAAGTCCGACGTTAATTCGGCACGCAGTTTAAATGGCTGAATAGTGAATTTAAAAAATCATATTCGGAATTTATTAGGCACCAAGATCCAGCCTGACAATAGAAAGCGTTTTCAAATATATATATTTTAACTACACGCATTCTATTTTTTTGACAACATCTATTCAACAGATGTATCACTGGTATATATCCTTCAATAATTAGTGAATCATCATGAAGAATTTATTCCCAAAAGATCATAAAGATTAAGCAACAATAGGTACATTAGCTTGGATGATCGCTTAGGAACATACTCTAAAATTAGTTTCCAAATATGTATATTTTTTAAATCATAATTTTGTCGCGTGTATTCTCTTTCATTCTCTGATATACCTATGCTGTTAATTAATAAAATTTATTTTATTTAAAATAAATATATTTTAATAACAAAACTGAAATGATTAAGAA